CCCCCCCCCCCCCCCTTTTTTTCTTTTTTTTTTTTTTCCCCCTTATAAAACAAGCTCTGCAGCCCTCTCATGGTTGTGGCAGCCCCTTCTGCACCAGCTCCAGCTTAATTTCTTCTTGCTAACACCAGAATTGCACATTGTGAAAGGGATTTGTGCAGTTCATGAATGAGCAGGAATAGATTTTTGTGACCGCCAGCATTTTCAGAGATTTGGTTTGATGCTCCAGATTGCTGCTCCTTGCTGGGAGTAAGAATAACGAGACCAGATTTTGAAATCCTTCAGTCCATTCGCAGACTCCTCCCAGCTGGGTTCTGTGAGCACCTGGAGCTAGCATACACTATTCTGGGTGTTATTGGATAATATGCATTAAGCTTTGCTAAGTGATTCATTGTGCTATATATTTTGTTAGCAAGGAGGAAAGGGTGGGGGAGAAAACCAGTGTTACTGTAGGTCTTCTCAGGGCTGATCTGTAATCATGTTATTATAAAAAGCAGAGTGTAAGTTCACTGTTTGGATTCTCTTTCTCAAAAACACTGAATAATTTAAGTCTTCTCCCATTTATGCCTTGTATCTGTCTGATCTATGAGTCTGAGGCTTCCCTGGATAGCTGTAATGCAGCAATGAAAAGTCCAGCACAAGCCAACCAAAGGGCACATTTACATATAGATTGAAACATGAATCGTTGGGAGCCATTCATTAGGTGCAGCGCTCAAGACATTTGGCATTTTAACAGCTCTCCGCATCAAATCCTTTCCATCAAATTTATGGGACAATTAAAGTGCTGGGGTAGCTGCGTGCAGAAAATGAAGCTGCAGGCTAGGGAGATGCTGTTGCAGTGCTATGGCTGCAGAATATAAATTGCATGATGTCAAATAAAGGTAGAGCGAGCAATCTCAGCCCCGGTGTGGAGATGCCCTGCCTCGTAGAGAGCTTGTCTGAAATGTGCTCAATCCTGCTTTCTGGTACCTTAGACAAGCTCTCAGGATTTATCTTCCCCAAAGTATAGGCACTGAAACCTTAATCTGTTTGATCTCAAGATAGAGAAGGCTTGGAGTGAGAGTTGTTATATGTGTGGGTGAGTTTAGTTTTGCTTTTTTAAAGAGGCGGTAGAAAAATACCCAGCTAATGGGACATTCATTTGAGGGTATAGGAAACTTCAAAGGACTCAGTAACAAAATTTACCTTGAATTCATCTTGGAACTTTAGGCTTCCCCAGGGAAAAATCTACATCCTCGGAGACAGCCCTTGTACAGCAGCTCACAGATCATCTTGTCTTCTTGATGATAACTTTGCCATGTGTGTCGGAACCCTTAAAAATGGGATTTAACTTGCTGAGACCTGAAGTCTGGAGCAAGAAGAGAGAAATTCAGACCCTCAAGCTTCCTCTTTCTCTTAAGTCCTCCAACTTATTACGGCCTCAAGTTGCACCAGGGGAGGTTTAGATCAGATATTAGGAAAAATTTCTTCACTAAGAGGATTGTCAGGCATTGGAACAGGCTTCCCAGGGCAAGGGTTGAGTTACCATCCCTGAAGGTATCTAAAATATGTGTAGATGTGGCACTTAGGGACATGGGTTAGTGGTGGACTTGGCAGTGTTAGGTCAACGGTTGGACTCAATGATCTTGAGGGTCCTTTCCAACCTAAATGATTCTGTGATTCTGTGATCTGATTCTGAAGAAGTCTCGCTGTTTGTGTGTGCTTTCTGTAAAGAAAAAGCCTGTAATGACTCTTGAACCTCACATGGCCATTGTGCAGCAGCTGGTGGGACTGGGGGATGCTGGCCCTTTCAGCAACCCCTTTGCAAGAGGGACATTTGGGGAGGGAGGTCAAAAATCCTTAATTCCCACCAACCTCCACCCCACATCTTATCCTGCTGCTAGGGATCAATGCAAGTGTTGATCTCCCTTGGTCCTCACTCCAGCCATTGAGGCTCTGATTACCGTTCGTAAGGGGAGCAGAGCAGAGCAAGGGATCTCCCATGCCATCCCATGCCATCCCATCCCTCACACATCCACCTCCCTCCCAGATGCGTGATACAGCTGTTGGCTGGACCAAGTTGCCCATAATTTCACCAAAAATCGTATGATTTACAAGTCCTTTAAAAAAAATCTTGAGCATAATTTATAATTTCTTACTTATTGCTGTTATTTTTACTCAGATCAGTTTTCAGATGGGATGTAGGGAGTGACAGTTGGAGGTATTGGGGTAAATGGTAGACATTTAAGCCAACACGGCTGCTGTAAGAAATGTTTGTGAAATGACATCCTTACTGGAGGTGGGACCATGCTTTTCATCTGCCCCTTGTACGAACGGCTGTGCAGCAGGCAGGTGGCTCTCTCTGTTTGAGGCAACCCCCTTCATCAAATTCTTCTTGCAAAATTGGAAAACATTCAACAGCAAGGCATTAAAAAGAAAGCCCTCAACATTTCATGGGTTTGGGGTCACAGGCACATCTGTGGAATGACTCTGATGTATGCTAGCGGAAGTTTTGACCCTTACGGTGTAAAATTAATTCCTTTTTCAAGGCACAGCATCATTTGCTAGCACAGTGTAGATCTGAAAGCTGCTCCCTAAATAAACTTTAGCTCTGGCTTTGTGCAGTCAAGTTCAAGAAGCTGTGTACAGCTCCTGGGAGTCCAGGGAAAGGAAAGCAATAACAGACCTTTGCAATAGCACAAATTGAAAAATGACGTTTATGTCTAAGTAGAAAATTGAGCTGGGAGTACAGAGAATATCTGCTGAGATATTATTGCCTGGTCAGTAAATAAAATAATTTTATTGGAATTAAAAGTTGACTTTGAAAGCAGAATTCCAGTGAGAATGTCAAAATTATATCCTCCATGTCAGTCTTTAGCCAAACTCAAGTGTTTCCATGAAAAACTTTGTTTTTCCTGTTGCATTTTAGGTTTTGGTGAAATGGCATTCTCTAAGGAAGATTTCCAGTAAGGATTTTGGAGTAGTAAATCTATTTTTAGTTGTTTTATAAATGTAACAAAAACAGAAGGAGGATTTGGATGTTTGCTAGAATACACATAAGGAGGCTGTTCTGAGAAAAAAAAAAAAAATCTGTTTAAGAACATAGAAGATTCAGTACTGTGAGTGAAATAGCCTGAGACATGCTGGTAAGCCAGCTGGCACTTCAGATACCTCTACTGGGGCTTCCAGCAGTGGGGAAATTAGATGAATTAGTGTGGGCTGGCACTTGGGAGTCTGTACGATGATGTTTTGCATTTTCATTTTGCCATTCCTGGGTATATTCGCAGATACTGCTCTAGTGGTCAGCAGTGCCGACCAGCTCGTGCAGGGGTTGTGTGTTAGACTGTTGCAGCGTACGGGAATTGCCTTTTTTTCCTGTTGACCACATCTATGTGGATCTGAGTTCTGCAAACAGGGTGATGCAGTGGATCAGTCCTCTTCTCCTTCCTAAATGCTGCTATCTGTACAAGGGAGGTGGCACTGGCAGAGGAATGCAGCTGCTTTTTTGCTTTTTTTTTTTTTTTTGCACTGGGGAAAGGTCAATCTTAAGAGTTTACAAGGATTTCATCCTCCATTAGGCAATTTTGTGAAAGGAGAAAACTTCACCAGCTATAAATTGTGAGGACTTAGGTTCCTGAACAGAAAATGGAAAATTCTGAACAGAGTTACAATGTGCTGAAGTTGGGGACATAGAAAATGACCATATTTGTTCAGACCTGGGTCTGTCCCATCAGGTATTCTGTATCCAAAGGGATGAGTAGCATACAGTGTAATTTCCTCACAATATTTTCCTATCCTTCAGCTAATTTCCTGGCCTCCATCTATGAACTCTCAGCTTGAGGATTTCCCAAGCCTGATATGATTTATTTGGTTAGTGGTCCCTAATGCATCTCCCTTCCAATCACTTGTCCAGCTTTCTTACTTCTCTAGGTATCCTACCCACTTCCATTGCTTTTTGCTCCACCTTGTCTCCACTGACTTCAGTTGCTGTCCCCGTATTTTTGGACTGGAAGAGTATTTTAAAGAAGTAACTCTACAGACTTGTCCACTCTGCACCAGGCAGCCACATGGACCACTGGTGAAGATAGGATGCTACCCTAGGTAGCCCTTTGGTGTGCCTTCATCTCGCACACCCATTTTCATGTCCCGCCTGAGGCAATTCCACTTACATCCCGATAACGTTGCTCCCTCCCAACTCTTTTACCAAGAAGCAGGTGCCCTCCACTCTTTCCCCAGAGTCACTTTAGCAGAACCCGGGACAAAAAGAGGTTGGCTTATTTTGCGTGCTGAAGAAGAAAGAACCAAATGCTGCATGTTTGTAAAATTGAAAAAAAAAAAAAACCAAAAAAAACTATCTGGGACAGAGCCTTGCCATTGGTTTGCACCTCACAACTCAGAAACCTTTTGCGCAGCCAGTGTGAATGCAATGTGAGCAATTTATGTGCATCTCCTACCACCCAAGCCAGACATTTTATTGCCAGCACCATTGTTGGCAAATGACTCTTAAGGTCACACACTGCCTTTTCATGATCTGCAAATCACTTTGTAAAGGCATTTTACTGCCCCTTAACCCCATAAAATTGCTAGATTTGGTGCGAGACAGACAGGCAGCCCTTTCCCATTAAGTAGATGCTCGAAGTTAGACAGCGTCTGCATCCAGCAAAACGCAATGGGGGCATTAACCGTATTTCCATCCTTATACTCTGTCAGCCCCTTCCTTACAGAAACACAGGCGTAATTAATGTATGTGTGATAATAGTCTTGCAGTCTCAAAATCAAGGCTATATAGCAATTACCGAGTTTCTCAAAACAAGTATAAAATCGATGAGCATTCTTCACGTGAATTAGTTTCACCTTTACATGATTTAAGTTTTCACATGAGCACCAACCAGCTGCCCGTTGCTGGACCAGGATCTCTGCCATGCTAGGCACCTTGCAAACCCACAAGTTTGGTTCCAGGAATAACATTTAACAAAACCCATTTGTAATGCAGCCCTTTTCATCTTAAAACAGATGAAACGTGAGACAAAACCCCTCTGGAGGCCACATACCCCTATGCAGCATATGCAGAATGAACAGTCTATGTAATAAAATACCCATGAGGAAAATAAGAAGTACCAGGAATACAGGAATTGGTTGCTCTGCCACAATCATGCAGCACTTTTTTCTTTTATTCTTCTACCTACTAGAGTTTAGGACATCCATATGAAAGTCTAATCTCACTGGCAATCTTACCAGTCACCATTCCTTGATAATTTCATGTAAGAAATAGGTCCGATTTGCTTTTTCAAGCCGTGGGTGTTTCTCTGTTTGCAATAGCTGGTGATTATTTAGTGGGACTTGGAATTTGAGGCAGGTTTCTGGGTTTCTGTGTGTAAAAATGACTGGTGTTTAGGATCTGGCTTCAGATCGCTTTCTGAAAACCAAACCTTTTCAATATGTGCCCAACAAACCTCTAGCTGTAAAGCCATCCCAAGTTAACAGTTTGAAGGCATCCACAGTGCACATCTGTATGAGTCCTGATCCAACAAGGCAGCTGTCTGGGCTGGATGTGCCAACTACAGCTGCGATTTGAATAGTGATGATTGTCCCTATCTCCATCATCTCATGCCAACCTAAAAACTCCACTCTTTCTTTGTTTGCAACCTCTAGGTTAGGGTTTGCCTAGCTGGATTTGCTGACTGGTTCCTCCAGACCCTTAATTAACCTGATTGCCCTCTGGGGTCCCTACCATTTTCCAGAACCTTCTGGAATTTCACACCTTCCACAGCCCAGCTGCAATGGTGTGAAATTGGGGATTAAAATGCACTCTCTGTCATTCCTCATTCTGCTTTCATGCTAATAGGGTACTGTTAGCATGAAATCTTAATTAAAACCCATGGACAAATCAGAAACAAGCCTCCTGATGCACTGGGTAGGTAATTCCAGAGAGTTACAGCAGATGGGGCTGGTATTGTGCTGCCGGGAGCCCATGATGCAGGGGCTGGTCCACCTCCTCCCTTGGAAGGTCCCACCACCAGCAATTTGGGAAGTTTTCCAAACACAGTAGGCAGAGGGACTTGAAGAATCCAGGCACGTGGCTGCAACTACCAACCGGCTCTGGGTTTCCATCTCCAGGGTGGTCTTACATGGAGCCAGCTGGGAGTCTGGATGGTTGTGGATGTGGATGGTTTTGCTGGGTTTTAATAAATACGAGTAGGATTCTTTTTGTTATCTGTTTCCTGATGACAAAAATGTCCAGGCGCTTCACATTCTCAAGATTTTTTTTTTTTTTTTTTTTTTACATCTGGGAGTATCTTTTCTCCTTTTGGAAGGATGCTCCTTGCATCACAGCATCTCTGGCACCTAAGGAACAAAAACCAGTATCAAGATGGTTTGGATTGCATTGCAAGCATTGCCAGCATAATTTTTGTTGTTGTTGTTGTTGTTTTCCATTATGCTTTCTCCTGGCGTACATTCATCCCAGGAACTGGCTTTTCAAACAACCCCCTGGAGCAGTCCACTTCTCCCTTAAGCAGTCATATCACAACTCCCTCAAGGTGTTATAGACCGAGCTGCAAACTAACCTCCCTCCAGACCCCCTCACTCTCCTCAGTAACCAAGACAACCCTCAGCGGATGAGAAAAGGCAGCGTGTAAAAAGGGCAGTGCTGCTCAGATCTGGCACGGCAGTGAAGGAAAAGCAGCCGTTACTCCCCTTTCACTCAATATTTCTGAAGATGAGATGTGCTATTTTAAGTGGTAGGGTTTGTCTAGACTTATCAGTGTCACTTCGGCTAATGCCCTTAGCACAGACACATTTCTGCTGGGAAAACTGCATTTACATCAGTATAGATTACTACTATATTCAAAAAAAAAGACATTTTTTACTAGGATTAAGTGCTTCTTTGCACTATGTCTGCATTTCTGTTTATCCAGGGACAGCTGTGCAGATTACAGTAGACCCACCTGTATTTGGCACAAAGGAACTAATTGCAGACTAGATCTCAGGGAAATGGCAGGGAGCAGGGAAGGAGGAGCCTGAAGTAAAGACATGAAGGAGAAAGGCTCTTCCCAGAGCATGAAAGATGAAGCTGAAACTCTGACAGAGAATTTCACACGTTGCATATGAAAAGTAAAAGAGAGTTTTATCACAGAAGGTAGAAAAATCCTGTTTTCTTTCCCCAGGAAAAAAAAATCAGGTAAAAAAACCTGAATTAATGTGGTTGCTTTTAGGCGTCTTTGAACAGTCTTTCTGAGCCAGGATGAAAAACATCCTCTCCAATTTATATTTCAGTGTATGATTTTTTTTTTTTTAATTATTTTTCCCCTTCATCAGTACTGTATGTCAGAATTCAAACTGTTCTTTTTGTGGATCACTGGAAAGGCTGTATGCCTCAGAGGCAGAAAAATGTTGGGTGGAAATACTTGATTACCTCCATGTGTTGTATAGTTCTGTAGCTCTCGTGCTTATCAGCTGGGACTCTTCTTTCATGAATCAAATCAAACAGCTCTCTGCCTTCACCCAGGGAACAAAACTCATCTGTGAGCGAGGCAGAGCCCCCATCAGTGCAGCTCAGTGATGCCACGGCAGATACTGCACAGGCAGCAGCTCCTCTCCCCAGGCTGTGCTGCCAGCTACAAGTCACAGAATCATCTAGGTTGGAAAGGACCTGGAAGATCATCCAGTCCAACCATTAACCCAGCTCTGACATTTCCCAACTCCACCAGATCCCTCAGAGCAATGTCGACCCGACTCTTCAACCCCTCCAGGGATGGTGACTCCACCACCTCCCTGGGCAGCCCATTCCAACGCCCAACAGCCCCTTCTGGAAAGAAATGCTTCCTAATACCCAGTCTAAACTTTCCCTGGTGCAACTTGAGGCCATTACCTCTTGTCCTGTCTCTTACTACTAGGCTAAAGAGGCTCATCCCCCCTCTCTGCACCCTCCTGGCAGGGAGTTGCAGAGGGCCAGGAGGTCTCCCCTCAGCCTCCTCTTCTCCAGACTGAACCCCCCAGTTCCCCCAGCCGCTCCCCAGCAGACCTGTGCTCCAGACCCTGCCCCAGCTCCGTTGCCCTTCTCTGGCCACGCTCGAGTCACTCAATGGCCTTTTTGGGGTGAGGGGCCCCAAACTGAACCCAGGAATTGAGGGGCAGCCTCCCCAGTGCCGAGCCCAGGGCTCAGATCCCTTCCCTGGCCCTGCTGGCCACGCCAGTGCTGACACCAGCCAGGATGCCGTTGCCCTCCTTGGCCCCCTGGGCACACTGCTGGCTCCTGTTCAGCCGGCTGTCGATCAACACCCCCAGGTCCCTCTCTGACTAATATCTTCACTACTCTCTCTGCTCCTGCTCTGGGGCTTTGCTGATTGCCTGATGAGACAGTTCAGGGGCTAAAGAAGCAAAGCATTTTGCGAAAAACACAGGAAAACATTTCTGCTGGGTTAAATCTCTGAGTTGGTTCACTGTGGGATCAAAACAAAGAAAGTGGTGGGAGCTGGACTGTGTTGTCCAGCCATAGGGACCTGCTGGAACCAGCATCCTTCCCAAGCCATTCTCAGAAAAGATTTTCCTTTAAGAGATCTTCCCAAAACTCAACATAAAGAACAACATGCATTTAAAGTAAAATGTCCAAAATACTTGTTTCTGGGTGGCTAAGGGCAAGTGGTTCCCAGCGTGCCTCCTATTGCAAACTAGGGAGTTGTTACCTGCACCCTGGGCTGTCTGGGGGGACAGGGATGACTGTTGTTGCAAGATTTAGAGTGAGCTGAGAGCTCCCAGTGTGGTACCAGTGCAACCTCTCTGCTCCTAGGACCTGAAGGGATATGTCTTGGTCTAATAGAACTAAATTACATGCTCCCACCTGTTTTGCCAATTATCAGGCCTAGCATAAAGGACACAGCCAGCATCAAGATGAACCAATAACCAGATTGTATTTGATACAAAAGGGTCAGTACATGGGTGAGTGCTGGGGGTACAAACAAGTCAGATTATACATAATCAACATCAACCCCACTGACCCCAACAACGACACCACACAACCAACAATGGGTGGAATAGATGGTGAAATGCAGTCTCCCATAGAAGGGATGGGAGACAGCCAGGTCAGCCAGCCAAACACATCAGACCAAGGAAGACACACACTGAATCCCTACACAGCCCACATTTACAAAAGCCAGACCTGACTGGAGCCCAGTCCCAGGGAGGCGGGAGGTCCTTCCCCAACAGGGAACTCTGCACAGGGCACCCACCTCACACACAGACACTGCCCCTGCCTGCAAGGGGTCCCAGCTTTTATCCCTCAGTGGACACCTGACCTTGGGTTACTCACTGCAGGACACCTGGGGCTCCTTTACCCAATGGCTCTGTCTGCCAGGCCACCGCACCCTGGGGGGAAGCCTGAAGGGAAACTCACCCCCCTTTGGGAAGGGCTGGGGGAATCACCCAGATGTCAGCCTTAACTTGGGGCTGGGGGTTGAAACCCCAGCATTTCACCACCCTAAAGCACACCCCCCCCCTCTGATTTCACCTGGTTTTATTTTTCCTCTCTCCCTTTTTCCAGATTTGCACGTCTCACAATTGCTCTCTTGTCTTCCTTTGGATTCTTCTATTTGCAGTTAGGACAGGATCCAGCCATGGGGTGGGAGGCTTAGTCTTCATTTCCTGTTCCACTTCTGCATCTTAGCAGATTTTTTTAATCACGGCCCAAGCAGCAGCCATCAGCTTTTTGTGAGACCTGATAGGCAGTGCTCTGGCACGGCGTTTGGGTGGGTGACGCCTGGGGCCAGCCTAATCTTGTCATGTCAACAGATTGCTGGATTCTCCTCTTTGCCTGCAACAAGTAGTGGTAGGAGTCATGGATTAAACCTTCTATCTCCCTGTTTGTCTGCACGCTTAAACCCACTCCTGAGCTGACAAGTCCCAAACAACAAGCTCCTTGCCAAAAGCCAGGGATGAGGTCAGACATCACTGGGAGCTGAGCATTGCTGCACCACGCCGGATTGTGCCCCTGCAAACCTGATTAAATCCATTGGTTTTGCTCCTGGAGTCTTTGACTATCCCTCAGTACTAAATGAGAAAATGTTGGGATGGGTGCCATGTTTGTGGGTTGTTTTTTCCCTCCTGTCAGTATCGAAGTTACAGGATGAGCGAGCGGTGCATTGATTATTGAATTATTTAACAATTCCTCTTGCCTCTCTGTCTTTGCTTCAGAAAGCTTTTTTGTGTAGCACGTTACCTTGGCTGACAGCTGGTGCCTGATGTGCTACAAGAAATTGGGAAGAGAATCTTATTTATTTATGAGACAGGAAAATTATTAGGGTTACTGACTACCAGCAATTGTGTTTCTTGCAGTACGGTTTATTGATAAGTACAAATCCAGTTTTTCTTCCTTTTCCACCTCTTCTTGATGCTGGTGGCAAGTGCACAGCTAAAGATGAGTGCAAAGAATAGAGATGAGCGGTCCTAATTCCTCCGTGGGTTGCACAGCTGTGGATCCAGGAGAAGCTCCATTAAACTGAGCAGGGTACACCCATGTAATCGAGAGCTGAATTGAATCAGACAGGTGATATCTAGAGGTGATGATGTGTGTTTTAGTAGAGCACAGACATTATACTGCCCAAAGGATTCAGGTACCTGTTGGAAGTCTGCACTGGCATAATATGCTGCCATCCACCAATACGTTTAGATTTCAGTCTGCTCTCCAAAAAGCATTGAAATTTGGAGCTGTGTTTGCACTCATGTCTGTGTGCACTAAGGATTTGCTGCTTCAGAGATGAGCAGTGAGGAAGTGAAGGACTCAGCTTGGATGTAGTTCTCTGGAGACCTCGGTATGTGATTGTGCCTGTTTCAAATTAAAAAAAATAGAGCTGCATAAGCAGTTTGATTTAAATTAGTTGTTAGAGGTATGGTCCCCACATCACGTTTGGCCCACACAGTGCCTTGAGAGCCATTCTGCAGGGTATCGTCTTTCTTATTTTTAGAAAAGTAAGTTTAGGGCTACAGGGAGTAATCGGTGCAGCACTGCTGCCCTGAGTCCACAGAGAGCCTCTGATAACCAGTGATTTTCCATATCCTTCAGCAATTTACCTGAATATCAGCCCTTAGGGCCTTTCAGCATCCCTGCTGGGGGCAGGAGCCATCTTAGCTAGGTTTGGACAACTGTACTGTAGATTTATACCTCCAAACTGTCCACACACCCCTTTAAGTCAGGATCATCTGACCTAGATTAATTACCTGCTTTATGCAAAAGTAACTATAGAAATGCCTCTTTCTTTCCCTTGAATGTGGAATGGAATGGAATGGAATGGAATGGAATGGAATGGAATGGAATGGAATGGAATGGAATGGAATAGAATAGAATAGAATAGAATAGAATAGAATAGAATAGAATAGAATAGAATAGAATAGAATAGAATAGAATAGAATAGAATAGAATAGAATATTTCCACTGGAAGGGACCTACAATGATCATCTAGCAAAGATCTGGATGTCTTGCTCGGAGGTGAGCAGATGCGCTGGGTTAGTTGAGTCCCCCCCTGACCTTTTCCACTGAATTTTGCAGCTTCAGTGATAGCTGCAAAATAACTGGTTCAGGAACCCTTCCTCAGCCCTGGCAGTGCCTGGTGCATTTTCTTCGGGTCTGAAAAACAGGCTGGGGCAAGGAAACCAAAACTTTCATTAAATTAGGTTGTTCACCTGCTGTGAGGGTGCTTCCCGCAGGTGACATTTCCCTTTTTTCTCCAACATTGAGGCCCACACCACCGCAGTAGCAGCATAAACCTATTGCCTGGGTCACGTTGTTCCCTAGGAGAAGCATTTGCCCCTTACTCTGCGTGTGCACAAAGTGTGTCGCAGCAGGACCTTGATCTCAGCTGTGCCTGCTGCTGCAGAGGTGTGGGAAATCATCAGATCAGGGTCCAGCATGGCTCTTTGGGCTCATGCTTCTATCTCTGCAGTGTCTAATGTTACCCTGGGGAGCTGTAATCTAAACCGATGGCATTGCTGACAGGCTGCCAGCCAGCTAAAGGTTTGTTTTCCTCCATCACGTCCCTGCCCTTATTGTCCTAAGTGTGTTTATTTGTTTCCCACAGAAGGCATAGCACGTTCCCTTAGAAAAAGCGTGCTGATAGGAGGTTTAATGCTGTTGCTCTGCCCCTCGATGCATACAGAAAGGAGGCTGGTTTCCAAGCCGGGTCATCCCTTCAGAGGGATGGGATTTCCCTTTTCCAGGAGGCAGCATGCTGGGGCCATTCAGACAGACAGCACTGCCAGCGCCGAGTGCCTCTGCTGATGCACGTGACTGTCTAACGAGTCCTGCTAGCAGAGGAGCAATGCAGAAAAATATGGAACGGAAATGTGTGGAATTACAGACCTTCAGCAGCCCTGGCGTCAGGGCAAAAATAAGCACACTCATGTAACGGGACTGCAGAGACTGGATGCAGCCCTCTGGGCTTCCATGTCTGCTTTGCTCCAGGTATAACCTAGGGCAAATCATTCCCCTCCTCTGCTCCTCAGTGTACTCTGAGAGCACATGGAGATACACAGCCTCAGAAATATGGGACAGGGTGTAGCTGAGCAGTGATCGTGATGCCTGATCCAGTGCAAAGTGAGATAAACACACTGGCTGCTCCTTGTCACATCTGCTGCTCCCACGCTGCTCCAGTTCCCCTGGTGTGGCCGTGAGGAAAGTTGTGATGATGAGCAAAGGGCATCCGTGGGACCCAGCTCAAATCTAAAAAGCCCATCCTATGGGTCCCTTTATGTACATTTATTCAGTCCTTCCTTCCATGTGCATCCTGCCGTTGGTTATAAACTTTGATTGGACATCTATCTTGTAATTTCTAGAGGAGCAAAAATGCAGTTATTTACAGCAGTGTGTGTTCAGGTCATGCCTGGAGGCAGATATCTCCCATGAGATTTCTACGTCTGATCTGTGCCTCCTTCTTCCTACATTACTGTTGCATCTCATGTACATTTTTTCTTGCTTCTTTGGGGGACTGTAGACATACATCTTATTTATCTTTAACCTGCCTTCTTATCCACGGGACTCAACCTCTTGCTTAAATCACCTGCACAGGTACAAGAACTAGACACCTTATTGTTTCAGGGCTTTGTTATATGGCTGAAGCCTGCCAAGTTATTGATCCATTATCCGCCCTTTGGGCAAGGATTGCCTCACGGTTGTCACTGCTGTTCCCTGACAAGCAGAAGAAGTAGCTCAGTAGGACTTTGATGGACCCATCATCTATGGTTGTCCTTGGTGACTGTGTCCCACTGAGGGGATCTATAAAGCCTTTGTTCCTCTAGTTAACTTTCCACCAAGAATATGTCCACTGCATCATGGACAAGTGGATGCAAAACCCCGTGGAATCAAGGCATCGGTAGAGTTTTGCATTAAAATAGTGATAAATGAGAATGGCATGGAGAGCTTAGCAGCTGCACCACTATCTAGTCATGCGTTGTTCTGCTCTGTACAAATGACGCCGAGTTAGTTTCAAAATGTCCGTGGAAGAGACTAAGGCCCAGCTAGAGTGGGCTTAAATTCTCTAAATGAGCAGAATAGCCTTCCCTAGATGAAAATGAAAAATCTCGAGTGTATCTAAGATAGGACAGGAAGAAGCAAATCTAGGGTGGCTGTAAAATGTTTTGTGCTCTTCTGATTGGGCCAGCAGTCCTGATTAGTCCTTACAAGAGCAGAAAGAGCGATTGCAGAAGTGGGTCTGTAGAGCATCCAGGTGTAGAGTCATTGCGATCTCATTATCTCCATGGTCCTCGTGTTCAGCACATTTTCATCCACAGCCCCGGCGCTCCTCTCACCTATAGGCACAGAGGCTGTGCTGCTCTGAACACCTTCCACTCAATTATTTAAAATCCAGTTGCTATGGATCTACTCAAGGCGATCGGTTTAAAGAAAATGCAGATGGCCTCTGGTTTTGAGTTCCCGCTGTGCTTTGGTTAATTTGGTATGTAAAGGTATTAGGTTAATTAAATGCCATGTGTTGCATGGGGACTGACTGCATTTGTGGATTAATAAGTACCCGAGTGTGTTCTGTGCTGAAAGTCCTCAAGCTGGCAGATGGTTATGTCACTAAGAAAGGAAGGTAACGGAGAGAATTCACGGGGAAATGAAGAAGTTTCCTGTTAATCCTGCAGTCGTTTTTCCAGAACGGGTGGTTGCAGTGTCCTTCAGGTCTCCGGCCAAGTATCACCCCTTACTGGAGGGACTGGAATAATTAAAGTGAAGAGAAGCAAAGTTGTTCGGTTTGCTCTGAGACACCTGCGCTGCCGGTTGTATGGAGTGAGCATGATAGCTGGCCAGTGGAGGACCATGGCCGGTGCATGGAAATTTTTCTGCTAGGAGAAGATCTTTACCAAGAGCCATATTGTGAATCAGGTCAGAGGGTGTCCTGCAGGCAGCAGGCATGCTCACGCTGGAGGTCTAAAGCAAACGGCCCGCTGCTCTCTGGCATTCATGGTGGAATACACGTAGAGAGCAGAGAGAGGGACAAATACCACGGCAAGATTTTGGAGATGTTGAAGAGGAAGAAAGTCGTTTTCGTGCAGCCGTGCCCAGAGGTGGTAGAAGATCAGGAGAAAGACCAGGGCAAATGGACCCTACTCCGCAACGTCAACCAGGCCCTGAAGCCCACGACCATTTTAGCGGTAAGATAGGGGGGTCCCGAGCTGTGAGCATGGCTGGGAGCTTTCAGGCTACTTTGAAATTAGTCTCACTCTTTGATGAGATCCTCACACTGCTTGTGGCAGCTTCTCTCACCTGCCTCCTGAGTCTTTGTTTTCCCCCCACCCAGCACTGTAGCTCCCCTGTGGTGCAAACTTTTTGCTCTTTGCATTTGGAAGCTCCTCCTAAAGATCCTCTTTCGGAATTCTGTGCACCCATTGTGGTCTTTCCTCCTCTTGTATTCCTGTTTGGTGGTCACAAACCATAGCTTGTGAGGTCCTGAGGGTCTGCCCCAGAGCATCTGGGAGGGCACTAGCAACCAGTGGCTGCACTGAGGAGGAAGAGTGGGACCATGCTGATACTGTAAAGTGACTGGAGGTATTCTCACTTCTCCAGTGCTCTGTCACGTGTGTTGGAAAATAAACTGCACCAGTCTAGGCATGAGACAGGTTATGCAATTGATAAGCCAGTCTGCCCGAGCTGGTAAATGCATGAATTACCCCAATTTGCCCTGAAATCCCCAATCTGCTGCTTTTTGGGCTGATCTGAAGGTGATTGCATCAGCAGAAGGAGTGTAACTGACTTCCATGGGGTTTATATCGAATTGATTAAAGTCAGGGAAGGAAATAGGTCGGCACTCTTAGTCAGTAATGTTATGTTTTAACCCCCCAGACCTTTCTGAGCTTACCAGCTTAGCCCATCCCGTAAGACTTGCTTTTTTTTTTTTTTCCACCAGTATTAAGAACTGCAGTTGAATGTGTTTAGAAAGAGCATTTTGAGGGGAGAAGCACTCTGTGCACGAGGCCAGCAATGCATAGAAGTTATCTTAGTGGTGTGTACGGTATCAATTGACCTTGG